TTCTAATATTATTTTATTACATTATGATTATTTATTGTTATTATTATTAATATTTTAATATTAGTATAACTATTTCTAATACTATTATATTACGTTATTATTATTATTATATTTTTATTATTATATCAGTAACACTATTTCTATATTACATTATTATTATATTTATAGTATTATTATTATTATTATATTTGTATTACTATATCTAATATTATATTAGTATTACTCTATTATTATTATTATATTATTATTAATATTATTATATAATTATTATTATATTATATTATTACTATCTAATTTTTTATTTCGAATATTATTTTTAATATGACTATTTTTATATTATTATAATATTTATATTATTATTACTATTTCTAATAATAATTTATAATATTAATAATATTTTAAAAATCCTCATACTAAAATGTTCATTACAATAATGATAGCAATTTAGAAATATTAATTTATAATATTATTATATTTCCTTAATATCTAAACATTTTATTAATAATAATAAAATAACAATAATAACAACTGTTATTATTATTATTATTATTATTATTATTTATGTGTTACTAATTATAATATTTATGACTGTTATTGTTAATAATAATAAACCTAATTTAAAATATTAAGAGTTTAGAAACAAAAACATCTAAATGGTGTTTAATGATTTCTTTTAAAATTAGCATTTTTCTCCAACTCCTGTGTGTTGACTCAGTGATTTTACTTTTACAGTGATGAATTAGTTATTTTCATTGCCTTTAAAGTGAAATAACTGAACATAAATAAAGGAGGATAAATAAAGGAAAATAAATAATTTTTGGCATTTAGAGGTTTTTGCATCTGAACTCTTGATATGTTGATTTAGTTTTGAGTTTATTACAATATATGATCCTAATACTGAAATATAGCTACATAACGCACACACTGTTTCATGATTAATTCAAGTGTATGCATTTTCAGTTTATGTATTTTATTTTATTGTAATGCATACAAATGTACTTATAAAATGTGAGAATAACTGTAGTATTTGACGTGTGACTGCTGGTTTTGAAAGCACATGTTCTCTGTGAAGGCGACAGATGTCCTCGAGGTGAAGTTCAAGTCCAAAGTCTTTCAATTGTCTGACAAACTTTTGTTCAATGAAGGTCCAAAGAAAAACGCTAGACTGTCTAAAACCGCTGCATAATCAGTTGACAACGATCCTGCTGTACAAATATATGAAGTGCACTTTCCTTTTTATGCTAAAAATGTGTTTAACAGCATTTCTAAAATAAATATGAGAACTTTGACGATCTTATAAAAAAGTCAAACGTGCATTTAGACTCCATTGGATGTATTTAAAATCATGTTATAATTTTATTCTGATAGCCTACTAAACTTAAATACATACATAGCCTATATGTATCCAGTATCCTACATATAATAAAGCTTTATTTTTTACCTGAAAGATCGAGCTTCAGGATGTTTCATTTATATAAATGCAAGACTTGAATTTGTCAGATGAATTATTGCTTGCAGGTTTCATTTTGCTTGCAGAATTTACAACGAATTCATGAATCCTTTCACATGTACATGCTATTTTCTGAATTGTCTGTATATTGTTGGCTACTTAATGCAATGTTAAGTGTATCTTGCAATCTATTAAATCTTGTAAATCATCATTCATCTCTTCTTATATATTATAAATAAATGTCGTTGGAACGCAGATAAGTATTATCTTTAAATACATATAAACCTCTTTTGAGAAATTTAATTGCATGAAAAAGTGTGAGAGTTGCTCCAGTGTGTTATAACCCGAACATCAGCGCATTTCCCGCTCATTTCGCTTCATTAGCATCTCATACCCCCATGTTTATTGCTATGCTCTTTTTAATTATTTTTATAAGCTATTTTTTTTCCCCGATTATGTCAATTAGTAGCATATTTTATCTTTCACCTGAATTATGATCAGCAGAAATGTGGAATATATTGGAATAAATGATATAGATTTAACATATAAATATATTTTCGATTTCTAAACACATTAAAGTTTTATAATACTTCATGTAAAGCCATTTGTTTAACGAACAAATATATTAAGAACGGTTTTCTGTTGTATTTTAGTCGTGCTAAAGCTGCAATGTTGCCCAAAGCTGATTTCGCCTAGATAAAAGCAAAGCACGTGCTGGAATAATTTAACATTTAATATAGAGTTTTTCAAATATTATATAGATAATAGAATATGTCTTAAAATAGGTCTATATTGTATAATGATTATAATAATGATTTAATACAGAAACTCATTAATAATAGCAACATTCAGAGATAGATACAATTATTTTAAAGCACAAATTATATAACATACAATTTTATAACAGTTATTGACTTGCTATTGCGCTATTACTCGTTATTAGCCTGCTAACAAGCCTAATATGTTGCGTCTTCTTGTTTTTAGCTATTAGCAACAAGGCAAGTTAATTGTAGCTTAGGCTACATAGTTTAACTGTAGCTTAGCTAGGTTACTCAAATATAAAATAGATATAATATCTTATAATATGGCTATTTTATAATTATATCATAATGATTAAATACAGACATTCATAAGAGAACAAGCCTAATAACAACATTCAGAGATAGATACTATTATTTTTAACGCAATGATACTATATAATAGTCATTGACTTGCTAATGCATTATTACTCATTAATAGCCTGCTAACTAGCCTTATATGTTGCGTCTTTTTGGTTTTAGCTATTACCAACAAGACAAGTTAACTTAAGCTTATAGACTATAAATATACACGTAGCAATTAAAATCAAACTCATTTTAATAAATATTATCCTCACATTTTCGAACATTTTAACCTCATTTGAACCTAAGTATGTCGATTTTTATGTAGACTTTAGAGTAGCTAACCTAGCCTATTATTTTACTTTAAAATAAGACTGTTTGTTAATAAAATAACTACTTTTATATTTCAATATTTTAAAGAAAGATGTAAAATATTCAGTGTTTAATCAAGACAATTGGGCTACAAAGCACTTCGTGTAGCCGAACCCGTATAAAAACTGATTTATTTGAGTCGAACTTTTCAGATAGCCCACTTAGTGATGACCCCATCTGGTTTATCCTATAACTCACGATGGTCAATATGGATATATCATACCCATATTTTTAGGGACACTGAATAAACGAGCTGTTGAAAGCCCTGACCTGCAGCCACATCTGTTCATGAACAAACCGAGTCTCGATCGCATCAGCTCACAAAAGCGACCCGCGTCCTCACTCTCTGATTGGCCAGCCAGCTCAGCGAGTCCTACGATTGGTCGCCGCGCCGCTGACGTCACTGCGGGAGAGCTCATACTGGGCAGGATGCTGAGGACTGGTACCATTTCAGCTCCATCAGCGTCTCAGGCACCATCATAATCGATATAATCAATGCTGAGTTTTGCCACCTGTTGTAAATGTTTCCATCAGCACGCGTTCACAGACACCCGAGCGACTTATCTGGAGAAGAAACACGGTGTTTGGTGAGCCCGAGACGCATTTTTGGGGACACATTGTGGATTATAGACGCGCTGCATGTTTCATGTGTTTCATATGCAGTTGAGGACGATGATGATGAGGATGATGATGGTGCCATTCGTGAGGTAAGAAATGTGGTAAATGTCTTTGTTTTCTGTCCTTTTGAAATGAAGTATAACGACAAAATCAGGCTGCTCTAATTATCGATAATTTCTATATATTTTGCCTATTTGTTAACCTATATGTTAATTTAGTTGATTTAATTCGTGTATTAGTTATAAATTCGCCTTAAATTTAATAGTTTCCAAATATATAAAATATACAGAGGAATAAATATGATGAAACACAATGGGTGTCGTTCAGCTTTGACGGTTGAGCCACTGCTGAATATAGGCTAGGTTATTTATATATTTTTAGACATCAAAGTTGGACAATTTCCCACATATTCATAATGATATTATTAAAACAATAATTTTGCTTGTAGAATATTTAGTAAGCTGGGCTGTTAATAATTGTAAGTTATTTCATTATCAAGTCATGTTCTCAAAATAAAAGCCTAAACAATTGAGTTCTTGATTTGAAATCAAGATATATAGCTAAATAAATATAACAAAGCTTGCAAAGAGGTTTATATTGTTTATAACATAATTATGTCACTCTTAAAATTTATATTAGAAAAACAGCATGTAAGACACAATTGTGGTAGGTTTTATAATGCTATTAAATAGCATAAACCAGAAGGAATATATTTGAGAATCATCTTTTATTTTAAGGTGAGATGTTTCTATTTTTATTACACTGTGTAGTCGTTTTGTATTTGCATTAGACTAAATTTTCAATTGTTAAAAAAGCTTAATTTAATAATACATAAAGCCCTTAAATAAGCCATTTTATAACAATACAATTCAAATAAAAGTATAAAAAATACACAAACATTAGATTAATGTTACTTGAGCGGATTAAACATTTGGAATAATAATAACACATATTGTTTAATTGTTTTGAAATATTTAAATACACGTTTAAACTGATATTTTAAAATAACTGTATAAAACCCTTTTGAGTAATAGTAACAAACATTGCCTAATAATACAGATATTATCAAACATCAATTTAAGTATTCAAACTGATTTTCTTTGCATTATGTAACAAATAATGTTTTGTTTCATTTTTTGTAACTTTTTTATGTCTTTATCGATAGATTATATAGATTTTAGTTCTATCTATATATATATATATATATATATATATATATATATATATATATTCTTAATCATAAATATGGAATGATTTAAACATAAATTGCTGTTTTAGCATAATATCATTAATAAACTAATTTCATGTTTTTTATTTCTAAACTTCATGTTTTTTTCTGCCATTTCTCTTGTCCTGTATATTTTTCTTGTTATTAATGTATTTAATAAAATGCTTGCATTTTCTTTGTAGATGTATTTCTGCAGAAGCAGAAAACCAACAGTGGGGCCTAATCATCTCTTTCAGGGGGTTGGTTTCTCTCTTTGGTTATCTAGCTGTATGAGTTATAACACTGTCATAAAGCTAGATAACCGAAAGTAGAAATAATTCCCAAAATCTTTGGAAGACAGCAAGAGAAAAGCAACTTTTGCCTCAGGTAATTTCATTAAATTTATTTGATTTTGCAGAATGTGACCAGATTGTCTTAAAGTTAGTTTTAAGAGCTTTCGGCTTTTCATTAAGTGTGTTGTATTTAGAAAAGTGTCAAAACACACTTTTAGGAATTTCTTTTGTTGCCCTTTATCAATTTTTGTTTGTAGATTTTAAAATAAAACACTTTATTTTTATGATTTTTCATAACAAATCCCCACTTCTCACATACATCAAACTACACAGTTTTATTCATATCTACATTTTGAAGTGTTTTAAAGCGCATTCTGCACATATATGGTACATATATACATGTAATATGCTTGATTATATGCAACATTTTGTTATAGAAAATTGTTTCTGCCTTATTTTCTAAATTATAAAGGGATAAAAAGAGATTCCCAAAATCATCTTTGAAAAAAAAAGCATTGACTCTAACGTGTCGAAAATTATTTTAAACAAAAATTGTGATGGAAATTAAACAAGAAATGTATGCAAATTAGTGCATGTTTAATTAGCATATTTAATCATAACATTATAGAAGCTACAAATATAGAGATATATCATTGTTTAAAAATACATATACATTTTTTTTATTTTAATATTTAAAAATAATTTTGAACATTAATAATTAAACAAAAATGATATGTATGTTTAAGTATTCAATAAATAATCAATGAAATAAAAAATAATTATAAAATAGATAGCTAATTAAAAAGAAATAAATACACTACATGGCATAATAAATGCATGCATTTGCAAAAGCACATGTGGCAAAACATATTGTAACAAATAACCTATGTTAGCTTAATTAATCAGGTGGGCATGGGTTTATTGTAGTATATTATAAAATTATATGTTTTGTATATTATTATAATATATTAGTATATTATTTTAGTATATTAGTATTTTTTACTATATTAGTATTTTTTAGTATATTATTATATTATATTAGTATATTATTTTAGTATATTAATATTTTTTACTATATTAGTATTTTTTAGTATATTATTATATTATATTAGTAAATTATTTTAGTATATTAATATTTTTTACTATATTAGTATTTTTTTAGTATATTATTATATTATATTAGTATATTATTTTAGTATATTAGTATTTTTTACTATATTAGTATTTTTTAGTATATTATTATATTATATTAGTATATTATTTTAGTATATTAGTATTTTTTACTATATTAGTATTTTTTTGTATATTAGTATATTATATTAGTATATAATTTTAATATACTATGGTATTAGTATATTAGTATACCCTGTCGCTTGCAGTGTCTGGCAGTTCTTCAGTTGTGCAAATCAAATTGTGCATTTATTTGGCAAAATTTCCATTCGCAAAAAGAGTGTTTTTCTTTTCACATTTATTTCTGAGACTGTGATGTTGCAGATTTTCTCATACATTGAGCTGAGGGATCCTCTCAGTGGCTCAATGCTCAAAAGAGGCACTTGAGGGTTATTTGTCGGGCTCTGTGGCCTAAAGGGGGGCTCAGGCTCGTCCTGTAGGCCTATTTAGACTCTTTGTGCTGGATTTCCCCGTGTGAAAGGCAGAAACAATGGCAGCAGCGCAAACAGTTATTCATGCTCTGTATACACAGACTATCATGCTGAAATGGGGCCGTGTTTCATTCTTTAGGCTCGAGCCCTTGTTAGGGCAGGAATCCAGTGCAGTATGTAATGACACACAACTCTGGCTAATTGATCAGACTCAGTGGTGTGATTCATAGCTTTATAAGAATATTATGCTATGTAGTATATTAATTTATTTTTAATTAGCTGTCTATATTAGAATGATTTTCAGTGTAAATTAATATCTCAATATAACATTTTTGTTTAATTATTAATGTTTAAAATTATTATTTAAGTATTAAATGAGAAAATGTATATGTGTTTTTAAACATTTAAATACATATAATACATTATTATTATCATAAAAAAATTATAAAAAATAATAATTCTGGCAGTGTTTTCTTAAGTGAAACAAAAATCCCTTCTGTAAAAATCTTTGACTCTAAAATGTGCAAAAAAACAATATTAAACCTGACGACTTCATCCAGCGTTTATTTTTTTGTGTGCTTGAAAAAATATTCAAATTAGTCCATGTTTAATGATGTAATGCCTCATTTGCATATCTAAACCAAAAATGTAAACATGTCATACAAAAAACACTTAATGTAATCAATCGACACTACAGGCAAACAACAAAAACAACACCAACAATAATACTACTACTAACAATAATAATATTAACAATAATAATAATTAGTTCTTTTTGTATTTTGAAATTTATATATATTATATTAATATTGTAAATTTTATATTGTTAATATTATTATTTAACATAAAGTAAATATAAATTTAAAAATACAACAATATTTTTTATTTGAGTGTAATGGATTTATATGTTAATATATTTTTTGCTGTATTACAAAATATGCTAATTAAGTAGGCACTAATTTGCATATATTTCTAGCACACAAATATATAAAAAATATACACACACATATACACACACATATACACACACATATACACACATACATATATAGTATTGTATTTCATTATTTTTCATTGTGTAAACAGCTCAAAACAAACCAGGAGTCTGTTGCCATGGCATCATCTTGGCAATAATAAGTGTTTTTGTTAATGATCCATTTTCATGCCTTCATGCTCTCTCTCTCTCTCTCTCTCTCTCTCTCTCTCTCTCTCTCTCTCTCTCTCTCTCTCTTACTCTCTCTCTCTCTCTCTCTCTCTCTGTCTCTTTATCTTGCTCTCTCTCGCTCTCAATTCAACTCAATAATAGCTTACAAATCTTACAAATATATTGCTAAAGCATTTCTAAAATTTACATAAAAGAGAACACATTTAACTAAAACAAACACAGTAAATAGTAGTAATATATACACACACACACACACACAAAAAACAAACAAAAAAACAAAAAATTTATTCAGTTTCTTTTTGGCTTATTCCCTATTAATCTGGGGTCGCCACAGCGGAATGATTTGCCAACTTATCTTCCAGTTGCAACAAATCACTTGAAAACACACAAATATGGACAATTTAGCTTACCCAATTCACCTTTACCACGTCTTTGGATTGAGAGGAAACCGGAGCACCCGAAGGAAACCCCTTGCGAATACAAGGAGAACATGCAAACTCCACACAGAAAAGCCAACTGACCCAACTGGGGCTCGATCCAGCAACCTTCTTGCTGTAAGGCCATTGTGCTACCCACTGCGCCACCATGACGCCCAAAATATAAAAAATATATATTATATTATTCATTCATTCTCTTTTCGACTTAGTCCCTTTATTAATCAGGGGTCACCACAGCAGAATGAACCACCAACTTATCCAGCCGGGGCTCGAACCAGCAATCTTCTTGCTGTGAGGCGATTGTGCTACCTACTGCACCACCGTGCTGCCCTATTATTCATATATATCAATAAAAATAGTCTATAAATCTCTCTCTCTTTCAGTGTGTTATACTCCCTCTCTCCACTCACCTTTCACATGGAGTCTAACCTCCATCCACAATATGCCACAAAACATTAAGAAAGCGTTGTCAATTTTGACATTTGGGGCTTTTTTGTCTCTTCATAAAGTGTTTTTATCAGTCTAATGCAAAGAAAACATGCAAAATACACACATTTTTTTGCCAAACCTCATCAATTTGTGTCTGTAGATTTCAATACAATACACATTTTAAAGGCTGCTTTCTCAAAATGATTTATTTTTCATGCATTGAGTCATAAATCTCCACTTCAGCAGCTCCTACATACAAAATCTGCACCGTTTTATTCACATCTATATATTTATCTATGTATTTTGAAGGATTCTATAGAGAGACATACTGTCATAACAAATTATGCATAAATGAAAACAACATTCAGACCCAAAAATGTTGATATTTCCTCCCCTGGCTGCATGCAGTACTTTCTACTGACTCTAATATGAAAAATAAATGACAAAAATAATATTTGTGTGCTAGAATTATATGCAAATTAGCGCCTAGTTAATTAGCATATTTTGTAATACAACATAAAAAATGTATGTAATCAATTAACTGCGAAGTACGCTGATTATAACGAGTCCACATTTTTAGCAGTGTCTAAAGGCACCGCTGTCAGAGAAACACAGAGAGGATCCCGGCTCCTTCCGTTTGCCACCCAGAGTCCCGGTGCCATCTGTACAGTGTGCCAGCGGCGCCACAAACCCTCACGCGGCTCCGGGAGGCCATCTTGACGGAGATCTTCACACCAGGAGCTAAGATGGCTGGACTGGCACATGAGGTGAGCTGCATCATGGTCTTTATTTGTGCCCGTGTGAGTGTGTGTGTGAGTGTGTGTGAGTGTGTATTATCATTATCGCCCTCTTCATTTGCCCCCCTCTGCTCAAGCTGATCTGATCTATCTAGACTAATTAGCGGAGGGTTTTGGCGAGGAATGGGGGGTTTAGTGAAGAAAATAAATGAACTGGCAGCGACTGGAGCACCGGCTGCCATCTTTCTTTGTTAAAGCTGCTCTGTGTCTCGCTCGTATATTAACACAGACATCAGTGTGTTCGTTAAGGGCAAAATTTAGATTCAGTGACGAATACTGCACAATTATGGACGTCTTATTGTCCCTCAGTTGTTTTAGGGTGTATGTTTGTAATTTTAAATCTGTGCTTATAATTGTCTGATGATTCTTATGATTTATTATAATTTAATTGTTTTATAACTTATTTAAAATTAGCTTTGTTTAAAATAAGAATATTGTGTTGTATGTATTTGCATTTGTATAGAATAAATAATAAAACTAATATTAATAAAATAATAAATGATATAATATAAAAATTATTTTATAAAAATATATATAAATTAAATATAAAATAAAAAATATTAAAAAATATTTTTTTTAAATAATTTAAAATAGATTTAAATATTATATACACACACATACACACACACACA